AAGAATCCAAAAATATGAAGATAGTGTAAGGAGCCTCTGGGACAACTTCAAGCATACCAACATCCGAATTATGGGGGTGACAGAAGAAGAGAGAGAGCAAGATATTGAAAACCTATTTGAAGAAATAATGACAGAAAACTTCCCCTACCTGGTGAAATAAATAGACTTACAAGTCCAGGAAGCACAGAGTTCCAAACAGAGGAACCCAAAGAGGGCCACACCAAGACACATCATAATTAAAATGTCTACTAAAGGCTAAAGACAAAGAGAGAATCTTAAAAGCAGCAAGAAAAAAGCAGTTGGTTACATACAAGGGAGTGCCCATATGACTGTCAGTTGATTTTTCAACAAAAACTATGTGGGCCAGAGGGTAGTGGCAGAAATATTCAAAAGTGATGAATAGCAAGGACCTACAACCAAGATTACTCTACCCAGCAAAGCTATCATTTAGAATTGAAGGTCAGCTAAAGAGCTTCACAGACAAGAAAAAGCTAAAGGAGTTCATCACCACCAAACCAGTATTACAGAACATATTGAAGGGTATTCTTTAAAAAGAGGAAGAAGAAAAAAAAGATGAAAAATATGTACTATAAAATGGCAATAAATACATATCTATCAACAATTGAATCTAAAAATCAAAATAAATGAATAAGTAATCTAATGAACAGAATAGACTGGTGAAGAAAACAGAATCAGAGGCATGGAAATGGAACAGAATGGTGATTCTCAGAGGTAAAGGGTTTGGGGGTTGGGAAGAGATTAAACAAAGATCTTACATGCATATATGCATTACCATGGACACAGACCTGGGGCGGGGAGGGATCCAGGTGGAGGGGGGAAGTAAGGGGAAAAAAGAGGGACATCTTGGGGGTTGGGAAGAATAAAGATTTTTTTTAAAGAAAAAATTCAAACTAAGATAATTAAGATTTTTCTTTTTTGTTAAATGTATTTTATTGATTTTTTACAGAGAGGAAGGGAGAGAGATAGAGAGTTAGAAACATCGATGAGAGAGAAACATCGATCAGCTGCCTCCTGCACATCTCCCACTGGGGATGTGCCTGCAGCCCAGGTACATGCCCTTGACCGGAATCGAACCTGGGACCTTTCAGTCCGCAGGCCGACGTTCTATCCACTGAGCCAAACCGGTTTCGGCGATAATTAAGATTTTTCTAATGGGGTAAAGACACTCAAGTCAATAAATGGTCCTGGGAAGATTAGGCAGATGCATGCAAAAGCTGAAATTACATCTCCTCTTATACCATATACAAAAACAAACTCAAAATGGAATAAAGCTTAAATGTAAGACTCAAAACCATAAAAATCCTAAAAGAAAACATAGACAGTAAAATCTCTGAGATTTCTCTTAGCGATATTTTTTCTGATATGTCTCCTCAGGCAAGGGAAACAAAAGAAATAATAAACAAAGGGGAGTAGATCAAATTAAAGTTTTTGCACAGCAAAGGAAATCATCAACAAAATGAAAAGACAACCTACTGAACAGTAGAAGATATTTGCCAATGATGCATCCAATAAAGGGTTAATATCCAAAATTTATCAAGAACTCATACAACTCAATGCCAAAAAAAAAATAAACAATTCGATTAAAAATTAGGCAGAGGACCTGAATAGACACTTCTCCAAAGAGGACATACATATGCCCAATA